AATGGACCCGTCGTAGAAGATTCTCCCACCCCCCGCCTCATCCCTCGCCCCACCGCCACCCGGGCTCCTTGGCTCAGTCATATAAACGCCTTAGTTAGTTCTTGCGGTTCTTGGGACGAACAAACGAGCTTTGGATTTAATTTGCAGAGACAATGAAAATACAGAAGATCTGCAATCAGGCAAAAATCCTGCATTTCCGGTCGGACAACACCCTGCCCGGGCCCCGTCAGTCCCGTTTACCAACAGAGCACCCGTCCCTTCTGGGAAGGTCTTGTGGTGTTCCTCTTGGGATTTACAAAGAAGTTTTGTTTGTTTTTGTTTGTCATGAACAAATTGGAAAGAAATCAACACCAAAGCGGAAGAAAGATTGGTCACTAGGTAAAAGAGCATGAGCATAAATGAAGTCACTTTAAAAAAGATAATATGATTTTGACAGTGTCATTTATGTTCTAAAGTCACCCTGAGTATATTTCGAACTGATTATACCTTACCCCTGCCCTGACTCATTTTCTAGAAGTTTGAATCAATGAAGCTTGAACATATTGCTTTAAACCAGTAAAAGGCGCAAACCGTGAATAATATTTACAATTTTATGCCATAATTTCCGCGTGTACGTGATTTGTGGCCTCATGTGGCACCGTCTCTGGAAGATGGGCTTCTACGATGGCTTCTCGAAGCTTCGCCCAAAATAAACAGCTCGATACAGCATGCACTTTGTCTACAAACCCTTACTGAAATAATTTTATCGCGTGAATAAGATATGTAATGTTGTAGATTAGGAAGTAACAGTAAAGTTGTAACGTTTCGATGCGGTCTGTAACTATAAAACAATTTGTAACGGTTTATGTGATCACTGACCATTGTGACTGAGTAACTCCCCCACAACAATCAGAAATGGTTAGAAATCTCAGAAAGGTATGAAAGTTTCATTAAAGCATAATTCACGTTTTCGATGTTCCAAGAAGTCTCGTGTTAATTCACTTACATTCTGGTGGTAGAGATTCTGCCCAATAATGAAGAAATCTTGAATCCGCTTTTCCAAAGTCACAGCATGAAGGTTCTCTTACCTTGTAATCTAAATCCCATGACCTTTCAATGGATTACCACAAGTGTTGATAATTTACTGTCTATCAGCAGGGTTCAGGAGTTGCAATTTAACCCGCGCGGGGTCACATGTAGGCTGTACACAGACCTTGTTTTATTTTTTTCCAGGGTGTAACCCATGAAAGATATTTTTTCGGTGTAGGAAGGTGTATTTCTCCTGATTTACACACTGAAAAAAAAAATAAAAAAAAGAAGTCTCTTTTCTTCTTTCCCCAACCCTACCCCCTTGCACTGGCGGTCAATAAATCCCCCGCGGTTTATTTGTTATCAAATTCAGTTTTGAAGCAAGGGGGTGGGGGAATTATGGGTGATTTGGTTTAGGTAAGTTTTTTTTTTCTCCAAACCTCTAGTGATAGATCGATTTTTTCCCTGACATACAACGGTGTAAAACTTTTTTTCCAGGGGTATAAGCCATGAAAGATATTTTTTCAGTGCAGGAAGGTGTATTTCTCCTGATTTACACACTGCCCCCATCCCTTAAAAAAATGATGATGATGATGCTGATGATGATGATGATGATGATAATGATGATGTTAATGATAAAAAATAGATAAGTGAAAAGAAATAAAATAAAAAATAGAGATAAACATTTTTACCCAGTGGGCTTGCCAATTTCTTGCCCAAAGTGAAACTAAAAGCCCATTTACACGGGCTAAAAACATCGGCATGGCACGCCAAATTTTTGGCACCGTTCCTCGTTTACCCGTGCCGCGGAAGGTAGTCTCGGCACCCCTAAAATTTTGAGCACTGGTGCCACATTATATGTGGGACCGATACGTTTACACGTCGAAAATTGGGAGTGCCGTGCCTTAAAATCGTCAGCACGGTGCCAAAAATTTGGCGTGCCGTGCCGACTTTTTTAGCGCGTGTAAATGGGGTTTAAATAACCCACATCCCAGTCCTTAAAAGGTCAAATAGCGATTCTGGACAGCCAGGGAGGCGACCGAAGAGGTTCTGGCCTACGTTCGCCTGACTAAAAAGGGTCTCAATGGGGTTAACCATCAGCTGTCAAACAGCCTACGATTTAACCTTCAAAATGGTAATTATTTTTTTACCGTCAACCGTCAAAACGCCAAGGTATTTTAAATCTCACTTTTTCAGCTGGTCTTCATGGACCTCTGGCTCCTGAAGAATATCTAAACTGAAAAAACCATTTCCCATGTTGTCAAAAACACTCTCTCTAGACATTACAAGGCCTTACAATTGCTTACTCTAAAAATATTTCGAAATTATTCAAGTGAAAGGCTAAGACAACGCCCAGACTAGCAGCAAGTAACATTTTAAAATTTATGCAGAAGTTAATATTTACCTAAACTCTTGAACTAAATTTCCACCAACTAACCATCAACTCTCAACCGTCCAAAGCTCTAAAATTTAACCGTCAACTGTCGAAATTGGAAAAAAATAACCGTCAACCGTCAAAGCTACCGTCAAAGTCGCGAGACTTGTGACGTTAAAAAAGTTGAGTCGATCAGTCGAGAAAGTCTAGAACGCCCTTTAAATTACACTTTTTAAATCAAAATCAGTCGGATTGTCCAACAAATTTGAATCAGGCGTTTTTTGGGGAGCTATTGGGGAGTTAGTATTTCGAGGAACGAAACCCTTGTCCCCAGGGATTGCCCTTACCAGCTAGCGTTCCCATGATTCTTAGAGGTGCGTCTAAAACTGTCTAAAGCAGGATCTTTTTTAAAATCTTTATCTCGTTATAATTTGGCTGTACTGTTGCCACGGTATATTTATATATCTATCTTTGATAATATCAAGAGTAGTAGGTAACTTTAAATAATGAAATAATGACCTCCACTATCAGCAAGGCACTGGTGGTTCAGTGGTAGAATTCTCGCCTGCCACGCGGGAGGCCCGGGTTCGATTCCCGGCCAGTGCAAGCTTACATTTTTTTTCTTCTTCTTCTTCTTCTTCTCCTCCTCTTTCCCACATTCTAGGAGTGTTAGTACAGAAATTCGTCTATTAATTTATTTGTTTTCGTACTTAACTTAAAAAAAAAAATTTAAATTGTATCACGATGCAACAGTTCAACCACAGGCAACCCAACCCGAGTATGCGCGTCATTTAATAGGGAGACGTTCAGACTGACGTTTACGGCAAACGGCAGTTTCAAGTTCGGAAGTTCATTAGAAGAATACCTAAAATGCATTCCAAAACCACAATGAATTGGTTTTGGCTCCATTCAACCCTATACCAATAATATTGCAGAAGGCTGTTCCAGTCATTTAGATTGTGGGGACATTGCAAAGAGGGGTGAGTAGGAAAAACAGCAGGGAGGCGGGTGGGGCAGAGAGTAAGAGCATCTTTAGGAGGAGCCAACAATGATGCAAGCACAGTTACTGACAGGCTAGGAATCCCGGGGGGGTACTTTAGGAATTTCTGTGCTGCTGGGACCCTGGAACCCTTAACCTATTCCAGAGCTAGTTCAGCTAAATTTTGCTACCCTATACTAGAGTAAACTCCCCAAATCCCCCCTATCCTAGAGAAGCTGTTTCCCTCGTCTAGNTGTACTTTGTTATGATTATAGTTCTGTTTGTTATTTTTTTTTTTTTAGAAGAAGAGGGGGCACGAGTGCGTGGGTTGTGTGGGGTTTTCAGGTGTGTGCTTTCCCGTTTGGGAAAAAGTTGGGGGATTTTTTTTTTTCCCGGGGGAATTTTTTGGTTTGGTGTGTAAAGGAAAGTGTACCCCACCCCCCCCCCCCCCCCTGGTGGACACTGTGACTGTTTATTTCAACAATCTGTTAGGGTTTTTCTTGTCCAATCTTCTATATTTACTACCATTTAATGTACAGAAAGGCCCCATTGAAAGCTAGGGTGATAGCATATTATTTCCATTGTTGTGGAAAATGTACAGAAATAAATATCCTTGGCCTATAAAAGAACAAAATTTGACTAACTTAAATGATATTGAATAATGCAATGAATTGATTTTTGTTTCATCCCATTAAAACTTAATCAACAGAATAAAAAGAAAATCAATTAAGTTATTGCTTTGGCACTAAAGTGAGGATAGTTATCTCTGGAGTGGAACCAATTCGCAAAGGTATGCCATAAAAATATGTTCCAGAGGAAACATAAACATAGGTTTCTTTGTGCTTGTAAAGACCAGCAAAGAAGGGATTAAATAGGTAAATAGGTATGTGCATAGGAAAGAACTGCCCTCCGTGAGTGTGACCTGACAATATGAGATCAATATCTGAAAACTGGTTCAACGCTTGTTGTGCAGCCTTTGGCTGGTGAGCTAGTAAGATTGTTGGGTATTTTGCACTTTTTCCACTGAGAGCCTTTGATAGCTTCATACCATGGTCTTCATAACTACAAACAAAATAAGATACAACAACATCAAATATTTTTCTTTAGAAAAGAGTTAGAGTGGGGCAAACATACAGTGTTGCTCCTGGGCACATTATGCTGATCGTCAGCAAGCATCAATGGATAATTAGGTACATGTGAAGCATTTCTAAAAATTTAAAAGTTTAAGACGGAATCCATCAGGAAATGGACAAAAACCTTGTACCAGAATAATTTAAACAACACCACATTCTTTTTTACATATTTTTTTAAGGGCTATAGATGTACTTAGTTATCTGTAATAACACCAAAGAAAATTTCTTGTGGGAGCCTGAGAAAACGAATGTCAAATTTCATTTAATGACATCTTACACATGAAATTTTCAGAATTTTGCCTGTGTTTTCACAATTCTTGTGAAATTTGACATTTATTTTCTCGGGCTCCCTTGAGAAATAGTCTTTGGTGTTATTGCAGATAATAAATTACATCTATAGCCCTTGACAAATGTAAAAAAGAATGCAGTATTGTTTAAATTTTTCTCGTACAAGGTTTTTGTCCACTGCCAAGTTGAAATTACTCAATTTCCTGATGGATTCCATCTTAATCGTTTGACAATGCAAATGGCCTTCTGTATCAAGAAAGATTCTAGTTAAGATCCAGGCATATTACTACCATGGTAACCTGACATTACACTTCTCCTCTCTATGTACAAGTATTATTTTACAGGGAGATTGATTTATCTTACCTCAACCTATCAGCTTCTACATCATCTACCCCTGCAAGGTATATCTTGTCCTCTGGATTAGTTGGGCTTCTTATCAGGACATGTGAATTATGGAGAGGATGAATTCCAAACTTCTTTAGTTCATGTAACCATGCCTCAGCATCTCCAGTGAAATATTCATGATTTCCTGTGAAAATGACCTTTTGCTCAGTATGACAATGAGTTATCACTGCTTTGTTGCTACTAAATGGGTGAAATACAGTCAGACCTCTCCACAATGGCCACCTCAGGGACAGAAGAAGGTGGTTGTTGTGGAGGGGGGGGGGGTGCTGCCATATATGGGCTATATAGGTATGTGCCGCTGTGAAGGGTATGGTTTTCAAGCAGTTTACTCTAGGATAGGGTATATAAATCAGAGCGTTTGGCTCTAGAATAGGGTATCATTTTTCAGGAAACTGA